CCGGCGGGGTGCGCTGAGGTGAGGGTGGCGCGCGCCCAACAGCCGGGGGCGGGGCCCACGCCTGAGCCCCGCCCACAGCCCTGCGTGAGGGCCGGGCAGGGAATCCGCAGAGAGAGGTGTGGGGAGTACATATGTGTGTATATCTGTGTATATGTATATAATATCTCGGTTCTCCAAGCAGGTGATTTCCCTTGCATATACGTGTGTGTGAGAGAGACCCTTTCAGTATTTTCTAGAACATTTTTTGTTGCTAATAGCTTTCGAAGAAAATGTGAATCAGCCCCAATGCGGTCCTTTTTCATGTGCCAAAATAAGCACAGTGCTGACGGCTGTGTGTGTCCAAAGCAAAAATAGAAGGAGGGTAGGATGGTGGAGGAAGTTTTGATTTACTTTTTTGGGGGGGTGTGAAGATTTTTCTTAAATTCTCAGACACAGCTCTTGCAGTGTGGAATAACTTCAACATATCCAGAGTAGTTCTTCTGTCTCAAATAATGATATAATTTTCATCTGATGTCCAGATTTCCTCACTCATAACTTCATAAAAGTATTACATAAATAAGAAAGGAGGCAGAAAAATACAGGTACATCAAGTGTATTTATCTTGCACAGGTTTCCCTGTTTGATTTTAGCAATGCCTTCTTACAAGCAGCTGCAAAATACTCAACATCAGGTCTAAAATCTCTTTTTTTTTCCTCTAACCAAAACAGGAGTAAGAAATGGAGATAATGACTGAAAAACAGAGAGATAAGAGGTACTTCTGGAACAATACACCTGAAAAAAGCGATTATGAGGCTGTAGAAGCCCTTATTTCTATGAGTTGCAACTGGAAATCAGACTTCAAGAAACATGCAGAAATGAGACCTATAACTCCTGCATCTGACATATCAGAAGAAAGTGATGAGGCTTTGCTTCCGGGAGCAGCAGACTTTAATGCAATACCAGCATTTGTAAGTTCCCCAGTTTGTGTGCATGTGCTTGTTTTTAACAATTAGTGTGGTGATGTCTTGTTAACATCCCCCCCTTACTGTGTCTCTCTCTCCTGCACAGTGCCTGACCCCTCCCTACAGCCCTTCCGACTTTGAGATGTCGCAGGTGATCCATCCACTTGCCAAGGCGCTGTCCGAGGCTGCCAAGCCTCCTCTGGCCACACCTCGGAGAGAAGCGGAGAGGTCTCCAGCAGCCAGGCCTCTGAAAGCTCAAGTGACAAGTGTTATCCGCCACACGGCTGATGCCCAGCTCTGTGACCACAAAACCTGCCCCGTGAGAACAGCCAGTGTGCTCAAATACCAGGACAGCGCTTTGAGGGAAACAAATGGGAAACAGAATGCCAAAGAAGAGCACTCGGTGTGCTCTGCCGTGGCACCAAGCGGAGCCAGTGCTGAGACCAGCAAACTGTCGCTGGCAGAAGGAAGAACTGCAGGACCAGCTGTTGGTCCCGTGCCCTTGACAAGGCCCTCAGTGAGCAAGGAGGAGTCTGTCCCTGAACCAGCAGAGCAGCCAGCGGCCGCAGCACCACTGTCCCCTGCCCAAGGCAGCGGAGCCCCCCCTGTGCCAGTGATTTGCCAGATGGTCCCACTGCCCACAAACAACAATGTTGTGACGGCTGTGGTGCCCAACAGCGCGCCAGGCCAGCAGCCGGCTCTCTGTCAGCCCATGGTCTTCATGGGCACCCAGGTTTCCAAAGGTGCCGTCATGTTTGTTGTGCCCCAGCCAGTTGTGCAGGGCACAAAGGCTCCCATTGTTAGTCCAAATGGCACGAGACTCTCTCCCATTGCCCCCGCTCCTGGCTTTGTACCTTCTACAGCAAAATCCACTCCTCAGGCTGATTCTTCAAGAATAAGAAGTCACATTTGCGGCTACCCAGGATGTGGGAAAACGTACTTCAAGAGCTCCCATTTGAAGGCTCATGTCAGAACACACACAGGTTGGTTACTGCTGCTGCATGTTAAAATCTAATGCAGAAAACTCTGCTTGTATATATAGCTTGTTATAGTTGTAGCGATTACCGGATCTGTTCATGGAACAAATTGAGGGCCAGCAATGAAATACTTTTTTTTGCCAGCATGCATTATAGTGCTGCCTAATCTCTGACGGGAAGTCTCCCCGAGGGGAAGTTGACTCAGCAGTTTGTTTGTGCTGGACTCGCTTTGTGTCAGAAGGTGTTCAGTAATGCATCTGTGGAAGCAAGGCCTTGCCCAATGTGGAGAATGCTTTCCAGAGTTAAAGATGCATTTTTAGGCTTCTCCTCAGGAATGCCTTTGCCAGAAGTGGGTAAAACTTGGAGGTTGTTTCATGTGAGAATCCACTCCAAATTTCTATTCCTGCCTTGGTTATTCTAGAGTAACTTCTCCAGCCTTGGCCCTTAACTGCAGTAGCAGAAAGAGCTCCACGTGTTTTCACACAGGCTCACAGTGCACTACTAGAGCTCGGTTACATAAAACATTGCAGGCTGTGCTTCAGAGGGGAGTTTTGGGCATGCTGCGTCATCATTATCTGCAGTTTACACAGAGAAGAGTGTTAAAATCAGCTGTTTTGAGATGTGAAGAGCATTTCAAACAATTTGGTTTCAGAGAATTTTTAACCTTCAACCCTTTTAACCCTTTTAACCCCTACTACCTAGCCTTGGGGATAGTGAGTCTGCATGTTTAAATATTAGACAGAAACAGTTTTCTGTGTTTTATGTGTATAATGCTTATATAGATTTTTGGCTCAGCTGCCACAATAGAAACTTTCCTGCCAATTAAGTCAAATCGTGCCAGTTAAGGCAGTGGTGTTTATTGCTCAGTACTCACTGGGTTTTTCCCTTTGTAATTTCTTCCCTTCTAGGAGAAAAGCCATTCAGTTGCAGTTGGAAAGGCTGTGAGAGGAGGTTTGCACGCTCTGATGAACTGTCTCGCCACCGCAGAACGCACACCGGGGAGAAGAAGTTTGCCTGCCCGATGTGTGAGCGGCGGTTCATGCGGAGCGACCACCTCACAAAGCACGCGCGTCGCCACTTGTCGGCAAAGAAGTTACCGAACTGGCAAATGGAAGTGAGCAAGCTCAACGATGTTGCCGTGCCACCAACGCCTGCGACCGCCCAGTGAAAGGGCTTGCTCTGGAGACGGTGGAATTAACTGCTGTTGCTGGGATAGGCCGGCTGAAAAAAGGCTTTTTCTCCCGGTCTGTGGTTCTCCCGCATTGGCTGCTGACAGCAGTACAGAGGCAAAGGCAGCTGCACTTAGTCACAAAAGATGTTGCTGGGAGAACCAGTGGCTGACTGGAATAGCGGGTGTCTTTTGCACTGGTGAGGAGAGAAAGGAAGTGAAGGCTCTAGAGCAGAGCAGCCACATTGTGCCAGTTTTGAATTTTGTGAAACACTTTTGTATGCTCTAGATCCAGTCCCATGCAAGTGTTCCTGAGGGTTTGCTGCTCGTGTCTGAGACCAACTCCAATTTTAGCTGTCAGTTGTCCGTCTTCAGTAGGTGCAGACAAGCATAGCAGCAATGTACAGGCACAGGCTTGAAAGCCCAGAACCCACCTGCGTGAGATAATCTAAATCAGTTTTGCTACTTCTGCCACCTTTGCTTGGTAGGAATCTCTTCCTCCTAACCATTCTCCAGCCCCATTATAATCAATGATTTGGTGCCAGACTCCTGGAGATTTTAGGCACCTCCTCCTGCATGGGGTGGTTAACGCACCCAGCTTTATACTGCTGTGTCCAGAGGGGCTTGGGATGGGCACGCGGGGGCACTGCATGGGCAGTCGAAGGCAGGAATGTTTCTGAATCCTTATTAGCTTTGTAATGTTTTCCCAGCTGCTTTGGCAAGCTTTGTGATTGTTACAGCTGGTTATACCTGGGCATCGCATGATGCTTCTGCTTTTGTGTTGCTTACGGTTTCCTTTCCACCTTCTCACTGCGCTGGTCATGAGCAGATAATCGGGCACCTTGAAGATAAACTTGGTAACTGTAAACTACTCTGGTTGATTGAAGAAGAAAACCAAGACTCTTAGACTTCTTGATTGAGTTATTCATTGAAAGGCGGTTTATGCTAAAATTGAAATGGATATATTATGTATTGTATTAAATTAGAAAATTGTGATTCAAAGAGGAAACAAGGCAACAAAGACACTGGCCTAGAATTTAAACCAGCTTTCGTGACAATGCATCAATTTTCATTATTTGTATTTTATCATATTATGTTGAGGACACATATCAGAAAGTGAATGGTTTGAAAATAGTGTATTAGATCTGCTTTTTGTGACTACTTTAAAGATTTGCACATTTCTTACGTTGTACTTTATACTTTGTTTACAATAAACCAATTTTCTGTAATACTGAACTCTTTTTTTTTTTTTAATTCGTAGTGGAACTTATCCATTTGCAAGGAAAATAACCTCAAAATAGAATTGTCCTGACCAATGGAACACACTTATCTCTTAGTTTTTTAATATTTTTTAAGTACTATAAAGCCCACGGGAGTGGAATTTCAAGTCTGCACTTATTACTCTGCATCTCTATTTTAATTTGGTTTTGGGTTTTTTGTCCCAGCTCTTAATCCCCTGGCTTTTCTCCAGCACTCAAAGCTAATCATGCCTATGTGTGCTGTTATGATGCCATGAAAAGTATTTCCCTTTTTGTTGGTGATTGCACTGCCTTCCCCAGGAAGGCACCTGCTCGTGTTCCTGATGGCCTGGCTGTCGGGCAGAGGTGGTGGCTGCTGCCCCGGTGGTGTCCAGGGCCAGTGGCCGCATGGTGCTGGCACCGAGATGGGCTGGAGGTGGGCTCCAGGCTGGGGGTTTGCGTGCTCTATTAAAGCTGTCGCTGAAGGAGTCCCCTGCCAGGAGGAGAGCAGGGAATTGGGGGCTCCCGTCTCAGGGCAGAAGCTGGGCAGCCTGGCTTCTCTGTCTGCTGTGCCTGCGTGCCAGGGGTGGCCATTGGTGCTGCTTGTGTGAGCTCTTCTGCCTCCCACTCCGAGTCCCCTGCCTGCAGGGATCCCCAGATTTCACAATTGCATGGATGCTGACTCACTGCCTTTCCCTGCTGTAGGTTTGGGGCAGAGGCACTCCTTACCTTATCCTGTGTGACACAGGGCCCTGAGTAGGGAGCACCTGAGTCATTGCCCTTCTTGTTCCAGGTGGGGTATGCCATCATAGCCCACTGCAGAAGAGAGGCTTCTTCCCCAGCAATGTGAGATGTGGGTCCCATTCAATCATCTTGCTTCAAGGTATTTCTCATTTCATGGCCATGACATAAAATATTGTAACAGCTCTGGGTCTGAGACCTTTTCCCATCTGCAAGTAGCCCCTGGACTAGGAACGAGGTCCCCTTGCCAGCTCTGCCTGGCACACTGATCCTTGAATGCCATTTAGTGCTGCAGCCCTGCAGAGGAAGAGCATAAAGAGCGTTGCCTGTCAGTATCCTGCCCATGCAATGGCCCCCATCCCTCTCCTCATCAGTGCATGTGGTGGGCTTTGAATCCCCTCTATCTCAGCATGGAGCTAAACTTAAATCTGATTTTACAGGTGAGCACTCTCGTGCTGCCATGCAATAACAGAGGAAGAGAGTGGGTTTCCATGCCGTGACCATCTCAGCTGCTTGTGTTTTCTGCAGTAAAAGCAGCTGCTGGTGCTTTTTGCATAGCAACCCACTCTGGAGACATGCACGGGCTGTGCCCTGGGATCACCCGCTGGCTGCACTGCTGGGAGGCTGCTGAGGGAAGCTTGTTCCTGGCATGCTGTGAGCTAAATAAAATACAGCTTCTCCCTCTAAATACAGAACTTAACAGCAAGAAGTGCACTTCTGGCTGGTTCCAGCTGAAGACAGAGTCATAGTTGTGAATTTACCTCATAACATTTCTAAAGCTTAACCTTGAAAGCCAGCTGGAAATTACATCAGCTATTTTGGAGTTTAATCCAAGGCTAACCTGAAAAATGTAGTTGAAAGGGCATTATTAGACACCTTTTCAATGCTAACTTTATTGTGCAATCAAATTTGGCTGCAACAGTAAGAAGCTTGATTTTTGTGAATTTTGTACAGATTGCTGTAAATAATTAGAACCTCCTTATTCCTGTATGTGAAATAAAGGAACACCTCGTACTTTTTCCTCCTGTTTGGGTTCATTGTTGAAGCCAAACAGAAATGCAAACCAAGACGCCCTCAGAAACCCCCACAATTAGTACTTGGATGCCAACACTGGCTGATGCTGGCTGTGGCAGGGCTTGTCATTTGCTGTGCAGACACCTGGCTCTGGGGAGTTAATCCAAAGGCATCCAAGAGATAGCACACATTCTTGGTAGAAGATTTGGGAAGTATCTATAAACCCTCCAGCTTGCTGGTTAGCACTGCATTGTGAAGTGATGCACACACATGAAAGTTGATGCTGCAGTGCTGACATTGATTACCAGAGCTGGAGTGAGACACATTCCGTGTCTCAGCTTGGAGTAGGGAAGGGCAGCAAGAGTGTCATAACAAATTGTCCTGGGAAAGCAGGGAGCTAGCCCCTGTGTCCAAAGCAAAGCAATACAACCCCACACTTGGTGTGCCTCCCTTGGCACTGGGGGAGAGCAGGAGAGGGAGGCTGAGGGTGCCTGCCTGCCCTGGGTGTAGCGCAGGGAGTTCATTCCAGCCACAGGACCGGCATCAGCAGGATCGGTTAGGGGGCTTGAGCTCTGCTTATCCCATCCAAATGGATCAGCAGTAGGGAACTGCGGTGCCAGGGCACCCTGCATATGTCCTGAGCAGTCTGAGTGCTCAAGGATTTTAATCTCCAGAGAGGATGGAGAGAAGGCTGGAAAAAACAAGCATTTTTCCTTGTGGTTTGGAAAATAATGATTTCCATTACAGCAGAAGTATTTGTGGGAGGCTTGGATGCTCTGTGAGTGAACTAATATGTATTTTAAAAGCAGAAGGATCCTGGGCTGGGTCAGCTTGTCTGGACCCCCAGATGCAGCTGAGACAAGAACCTGTCTACACATCCTGCCTGAGTGCAGCTTTCTGAGGTTTTTCCTCCTGAGCTTTACCATTCAGCACTGCTATTTCAAGACACCCTTAACCAAGCAGTCCTGTTATTCTGGCACAGGGTGTCTTCAGCCTCTGTGGCAGGGTGGGTGCCACAGTGCAGATGTGGCCTGTGCCCAAAGAACTGAGAGAAAGAACTTTATCATCCGCTGGCCTGAAACTTGCACACCACATGCAGCAATATCAGGTATTCCCTTGGCAGTTCCCCACTTTTACTGTAAATGCATGAGTCATTTGTCTGCTTTGGCAACAAACTTGGATAACCAAGGAAACAATCTGTCAGAAAAGCTGGAGCACAAAATCAGGTCAAGAGAAATGATGAATGAATATGTGCATTATGGGCTCAAGCTTCTAGTTCTGTATCACACATTTTCTGCAGGAAACTTTGCTTCTCCTGGAACATGTGGTCAGGGAGGGTAATATTCAGCTAGAAAAATTGGGTTTGGGTCTTACAATGTAATTTAACATGTCACACAGAGCTTCCATGTGTAGCAATATGGGGTTCTCAAATACTTTCTTTTGTGCCCCCCCAAAAAAAAAAGTGATACTTTGGCAGTAAGAGAACAAGAACAAAACACAGCTTTCTTGTTATATTCATGAGAAGACAGGAGATAAACTTGCTAACTCACTTCCTGCACTGTGATATAAATCAGGTAATCATCATATGAAATGCGTTCAATAATTCAGAAGCTTTTTTAGGACAACACAGTTTTGATGAAACTTCATACTTGATTGGGTAGTCTACTCTGAAAGTCAAAGCAGTTGTCTGAAGAAAAAAAAATCTGCTATTGCCATGACTTAATTTCAACTACTTGGAAGGTTTTGGTAAATGTCAAGGTACTTGCATGGCAACAGCTTCTCAAAAAAATGGATGCAGCCGTGGTGGGGACTGCCCATGCACTAAGGGCTGTGGAGAGGCACAAGCACACCCTGCCTCAGCTAAATGTTCCTCAGAGCCTCAGCAAAATTTAAGTGGCTTTGAATAGCTAGGACATTAGAGTCTCCTCTCTGCCCAGCTCATCTCCTGACTGCTTCCAATGCATGCAAGATCTGACATTTGTCAAGCCTACCTTTAAAAAAAACCCAAACCAAACAATCCTTCGCAAACTTTTCTATTATCGTCTGGGCTGAATTCCATACAGCTGTCATTGTTTAATGGTGAAGGCTGGGATCTTCTCAGAGATAGCCAGGAAACTGGCATGGGGTATTTATTGTGAGCAACAACCTCAGGCAGTTTAAACCCCTCTGCCTGGGGAACAGAGCCTTTAATGTTTAATTGCCTGGCAGACACTTGGAAAGAGCAACCCTCACCTCCCCTAAATGGAAAGAGATGCATGCAACCTGAGTGGAATTAAAGAAAATACAGCACACAGAGAGTACCCTGACTGCCTAAAATGAAGGGTTATCAAAACATTAATGAAACTCCCATCCAGCAAATAATAAAGCAAGTCCCCTGATGACCCATCAGCCGTGGTGCAACATTGCCAGTCACTACACAACAGAGGAGCAGCTGCTAAATAAAAAGGCGCTTAGGAGCCACAACATAGCAAGAGGACAGAGCAGCCGTCTTCAAACAAGCTAAACAATCAGCTCAATGAAGACAGAAGTCTTGATCAGCTGTAATCAGTATTCCTCAGGTAATCCTGACTGAGGCAGTAGGGACTGCAAATGTAGAACTGAGGGCTAGGAAAACTAAAGGGATTCCCCTCTTTGCAGCTGAGTGTGTTGTGCTGCTGCTGGCATCTGGTTGCTATGCAGATTTAGGGAGTAGTTGCATTTAATGCTCTTGGTTAAGCATAAGTGGTTTTATTTCCTTTTCTTATCCCCACCATTACCTGCCCCCACAGAGCCATGCAGGTGCTCTGAGATGTCAGTTCCTGCCTTCCTGGAGAAGAGAGCGCCTGTTCCTACCTGCAAGTGGCTGCATGCTGTCCTAGGAAGAGGGTTTCCCCTCTTGGCTGTGGGGCACTTTACCAGGAACTCCCACCATAGGGAATTAGGTTTCCCAGTGGTACCACATCCCTTCCACCTGCAGGTGACCGTCACCCTGTCACCCCACCTCCTGGCACCACTATGCTCCTGATTCTTCACCAGCTTCTGCAGCCCAGAGAGAGCATGGGGAATGGGAGCCAGAAGCAGCCCTGTTGCATGGCAGCCTTTGCTGGGGGCACTGGAGCAGCTTGAACCTCGCATTGATGCTGCTGGCTGCATCCCTCACTGGCCCTGACTCATGGGCTTGCCTTCCCTTCCAGCACTGGCACACACCAAACCCCAGCCAGGCCTGGCAGCAGCCCAGAACTGAGGGCTCTTCTTCTCCTGAAG